CTGATGCAGCACTGGAAGCACTCACTCATCCATACCAAGAAATTTGGAAGACAGTTACCTGGCCAACTGACTGAAAGAGATCCGTATTTATACCCATTTAAAAGAGAGGTGACCCAGTAGAATGCAGAAATCATCAATTATCAGCAATATCACATGCAAGTAAAATTTTATTAAAGATAACTTAAAACAACTGCAACAGTGCATTGACAGAAAACTTCCAGAAGTTCAAGTTAAGATTCAGAACAGGATGTGGAACAGGGCTACCACTGCTGACGTCACATGGATTTTAGCTGAAAGCAGAGAATACCAGAAAGCTGTTTATCTGTGTTTTATTGACTATGCAAAGGCTTTCAACTGTGGCCAACACTATAAAGAACAGGTATTAACTACACTCATGAGGAACCTGTACATCGACCAAGACATAGTTCGATTAAATAGAACAAGGGACACTGAATGGTTTAAAATCAGGACAGATGTGCACCAGAGTTGTATTCTTTTATCATAGTGATTCAATCTGTATGCTGAGCAAATGATATGAGAAGCTGAATTATATAAAGAACATGGCATCAGGATTGGAAGACTCATTAACAATCTGCAATATGCAGATGATACAACCTTGCTTGCTGAAATTGAAGAGCACTTAAAATACCAACTGATGAAGATCAAAGATAATAGCCTTCAGTGTGGGCTGCACCTAAATGTAAAGAGAGTGAAAATCTTCACCATGAGACCAATAAATGACATCATGATAAATGGAGAAAAGATTAAAACTTGGATTCACTATGTCATCTACACTCTTGGAAGCAGCAGTGAAGAAATCAAATCTGCTGCAAAAAACTTCCTTAAAGCATTTAAGAGCAAAGATGCTCATTTGAGAACGAAGGAGTGCCTGACCCAAAACATGGTATTTTCAGTAGCCCCAAATGCATGTGAAAGTTGGACAATGAATAAGGAAGGCCATGTTAGAATCGAAGCATTTGAATTATGGTGTTGGAGAAGAATATTAAAAGTGCCTAGGACTACCAGAACAAACAAATTAATGTTGGAAGAAATATAGACAAGAATTCTCCTTATAATCCAGATAGCAAGATTTCATCTCTCATAACCTTCGATAGACTATGTGGAGGGATCAGTCCCTGGAGTAGCACATCATGCTTGGTAAAGTGGAGAGTCGAGAAAAAGAGGAAGACCTCCAACAAGACGGACTGGTCGAAGCAATCAGCTTAAGTACAACAATGATTGTGAGGATGGCGCAGGACCTGGCAGGTTTGTTCTATTATGCATAGGGTTGCTATGAATAGGAACTGACTCAACTGCACCGAACAACAACAACCAAGAATGAATGGCAACGTCCACAACAGGTACAAAGACCAAATAAATTAAGAGTTTTGCTTTGTATTGCTACACTGGAATGTCTTTAGCTACAAAGAATGGCAGTTGTCAGAAATGTTAAACAATGGCAATGCATATAAGATCATCAAATTGATGAACTACCCCTTCAAAAACACTAAATATACTAAAACCAAAATGTTTGGTAAAACGAAGCAATTACCATATGACCCAGAAAGTCCACTTTCTCTACCCAAGAGAAAGGAAAATATATGTCCATACAAAAACTTGTACATGAAATGTTTATAACAGCTTTATTCAAACAGCCCAAAATTGAAAAATTTCACTAACTGATGAATGGATCAATGTGGTATATCTGTATGTTGTTGTTGTTAAGTGTTGTCGAGTCGATTCCAACCTATAGCGACTGGTAAGCTTGAACCACCGACCTTGCAGTTCAAATGACTTTGCAGTCTGATGCATTACCCCATAGCGCCACACCAGGACTCCGGTATATCTGTATGGTTAAGTGCCGTGGAATCGGTTCCGACTCACAGTGACCCTGTTTCCTAGGCGGTATATCTTTACAGGAGTAGAAAGCCTCATCTTTCTCCTTAGGAGCAGCTGGTAGTTTCAAACTTCTGACCTTACGGTTCGCAGCCCAATTCATAACCACATCTGTATAGTAGAATATTATTTAACAAAGCAAAGGGATTTACAATTACAGATTTGTTTTAGATCAAGTAATTTGCTCAATTAGTGAGGGAATGAGGGAGGATTTGAACCCAAGTCTGTGTGGGCTATCTGCAAAGCTGGAGTGTTGAGTCAACCCAGAGACATCTCAGAAGGACTGGTACATGCAACACGGATGAGCCTTTTCATTATGAAACTGGAAGAAAACAGTCACAAAAGACCAAAGATCTCATGCTTTTGTTTGTAATAAATATCCATAGTAAAAAAAATATTAGAAAGGCTATAGAAAGTAGATTGATGGCTGTCTAGGGCAGTGATCAGGTGTGGGGAGTTGATGAGTTAGGACAAGGTTTTCTTCTAGATGATGAAAATGTTGTAAAATTAGATTATGGCTATAGTTTGCACAACTCTGTAAATATACCTAAAACCATTGCTTTAAACAGGTGAACTTTATGGAATTTAAAGTATATCTCAAATCTGTGCTTAAAAAAACCCCACAAATTAAGGCATAAAACACAGATGACTACAAAACAAATTAACACTTTTTTATTTTGGTCAGGAAAGGCTGATCCGGTGGTAGACATTTTGTGCTTCAGGTTGGTGAAGAAGCCTGTGAAAAAAAGTTGCTTTACCCCTAATCTGTTAAATCCACTGCTGTTGAATAGACTTCAACTCCTAAGTCCTCAGAGTACCTTATACCTTAGTACTCTAGGGACTGGTGGTGGGGGTTGTGTGCCACCGAGTCGGTTCTGACTTATTATGACCCTAAATAGTTTCCAAGGCTATAAACCTTTACACAAATAGAAAGCCTCATATTCTTCCTGAGGAGCGACTGGTAGATTCCAACTCTGTCAGTTAGCTGCCCAGCTCGGAATCCACTATGCGACCAGGACTTTTAACTCTAAGAATTAGGACTACCAATTAGTTTCCCCAAAAATGAGAACATTAATCAGTTCTTCTGATTAAACTTCTAAAACTTCTTCCCAAATTAGAAATAAATTTTTCTGTCTTTAGGATAAGCTGAGGCAGCCAAAAACCTGCTTTCCCTAAATCTTAATATTTGCTGGCTTGAACAGGGTAAGGTAAGAATCTTTCATTTAGACAATCTGGGAGAATTTCAAGTAATCAATAAGCATTTTCTAGGGAAAATGGAAGGGGGAAGATAAAGAAGGTCATAAACTGGACATAAAGAAAACTGTAAAGTAAAAACACAGAACAATAAAAGCTGTCTTCCTACTATGGCATTCCTTAAAGTATCACTGTATATAAATTTAATCACCTGTTTACATTTGTAAGAGGGATGCTAATTCTAATGCATACCAAAGTTGAAAATCACTGTCACTTACTAGTTGTGTGACCTGGAAGAAGTTATTTAACTTCTCAAAGCCTTGTATTTTCCAATTTCTAGAATGGGGTGAACAGCAGTACTCATCTGAAAAGGTCGTTGTCTGGAGAGCTATTCCGTGCAAACACTTGTTATTAAGTGCCACTGAATTAGTTCCTACCGACTCCATGGCACATCACTACCACCACCACCAACAGCAACCCTGAATACGGTTTCCGAGGAGCAGCAGTTGGGTAGCTTAAATCTCAGACCTTGCGAGCGCTTACCCTACACAGCACTACACTAGGATGGCACAAACAGCACACTCTTATTTTCATAGGAAACTGACTTTATTTTTTTGTTTATATGTGTTTGTTTTTAAGAACTCAACACTTTTCCCCTAGTTATGTGGAAAAGCTAATTTTGGTAGTATCCGCTACCCATAAATGGTTTGATTTCAATGACTGAGCCAAGATGGTAGCTAAAACCAGATTATTACTAAACAATCGTCATACATTATCTAATGATTGTATTTAACATATCTAGGCCAGGTAGTCAAAGAGTTCAAAAATAGATAAAATAGAAAGACACCTCCAAATAGGCAAAATAATCTGGGTTCCACTTGTTGTCACTTTAATGAACCTTTCTAAACTTCAGTTTAATCTCCAGTTCCAAAACATGATATGGAAGTTACAAGATTTATTGACTAGATCCTACTAAATTTACTGTACATGCCAGTACCAAAAATAATTGGTTGGGGAGCATTTTTCTCTAAACTCATTCATTCCAGATAAGCTGATTGTTCTGGCTGACTGTACAACTTTGTACTGATTTTTTTTTTTTTTTTTTTTTTAAATCTCAGCTTAAACTTGAGTTATTGGTTCTTAACTCATCCTAAAGAATCTTACATACACTCTACTTACTTTTCCTCTGAAATCACTATCTGCTTTATGTCAGTACTGTCCCCTGGCAGCCCACGAGAAAAGCTGCCCTGACTGAAGAAGTTACAGGCAGGTGATCTCAGCCCAGAACGCAAAATACTGGACAGACAGCTCCAGTAGTCAAAGAGCTGCTTCCCCGGGTGAGAACTGACCCGATCCAGGATCTATCTCGTGCACGACATAAACCCAGACCTCACTGGCAGCCGGTTAACTACGACTCATAACGACCCTGTAGGACAGAGGAATCCCAAGGCTGTCACCTTTATAGAAACAGACTACTAGATCTTTCTCGGGGGGATCTGGTGGTGGGTTCCACATAGCAGTCCATCATTTAAATACTTCGTCACCAGGGCTCTTGTACACAATACAGCAAACTAATACAGTTATTCCCATTTTACAGCCAGACTCAGAGAGGTTAGGTGACTTGACCAAGGTCACACCCCCGTCAGTGTAGATGTCACGATTCGGCGGTTATTTTCAAGACCAGGTTCTTTTCAGTACTCAGCTCGCACCTCTCTGGAGCTCTTCCTTCAAAACATAACCCTCACCAGCACACCAGAACAAATCTACAGGTGCCCCTAAGAATTGCCCACCTGCCCGCCGGGACCCCCGGCCACACGGAGGCCCCAGAGGCCCTGCAGGCCAAGACCACGGCACTGGGCCTCCCTCAGCCCTTTCGACCCCCATGCCCCATTGTTCCCGATTCCACTCACCTCAGAAGATGCTGGTGCAGGCCCGGCTGGGGCGCTCGTGGCTAGCTCCTGACGCCCCAGATAGCTGGGCCGGTGACGGCAGGATCCGCGAAGGCGTACCCGGCGACTTCTCCGCCTACCGTCAGGAGCCGGAGAGGGCGGGGGAGCTTCACCCTCCTCGCGAGACAGCGGAGACCCGGGCGGCTGCTGCGACCCCTGTGACGTAAAGTATTTAACACCAATGGCAGCTTGGAGGCGGAGTTGGCAAGCTAACCCCGCCCACAGCCCCAGGCGTATCAAAACACTCCACCCGCTTTCTAAACGCATGCGCCTTAGAAAGGCGCGGATCGTGAAGGCAGGTCTTGGTGTGCTTAAGCCAGCTACTAGGCCCTTCCCCCACCTCTCCAATCTAGGCATGAGAAATGTGATCATCTGGGCAGAAATCCCTATCATGATTATTCTTATTATTAATGGCCGGAGGTCCTAGTGTGACGCTGTAGAATAAGCATTGGACTGCTAACTGCAAAGTCGGTGGCTCACACCCACCAGCAGCTCTGGAAAACCCAGAGAAGGTCGCTGTTTATCAGCATTGACTTGATGGAGCTTAAAGACACTGACGCAGCAATTTATGTTCGGACACAAAACTAGACAATGTATTAGCTTGATGTCATTGGAACGTGTCCAAACTCAGGGTTAAGCTACTTAAAATTGTCTACTTTATACAAACTATTAATAAGGAAGTGACTTGACCACAGTTGCACAGCTCGTAAATAACATGGGGATTCGAAGGGGCTCCAAAGCCAAAAGCAACCAGTATTCTATACAGCCTCTATCTGCTCCAATGTGAGGAAAACCGGTCCAGCCTTAGCAAAAGGCCCTGAACTCTCCCCCAAAGAGATAGGCTTTTCTTACAAAGAACGACTTCCTCCCTGTCCACTTCCCTCAAATTTGGAAAGTCAGCCTAAAACAGGGGTGGTTGTTAAGTGCTGTTGAGTCGGTTCCGACTCATTAGTGACCCTGTAAAAGGTTTCCAAGAACCCGCTTATTAGTTTGAACCGCTGACTGCTTATTCTATGGCGCCACACCAGGACTCCCAAGATGGTGGGTGGGTGGGACATTTTTTCCGGGCTAAGAGACTCTTGGATATTTACATCATTCTCGGGCCATACAAAATTATCAATTTAAAAATTAGCCTACTATATTTGGTAAAACATTTAATTTTTTTACCAAACAATGTGATGGTGTGGCGCCGTATTATAAGCACTCAACCTCAAGGTCAGTTCCGCAAGGTCAGTGGTTCAAGCGCACTAATGGCACCTGGAAATCCTATAGAGGGTCGCTATGAGTCGGAACCGACTCTACTGCACTTAATACCACCAATGCTATGGCTGGAACTGTGGATGCCTTGGCAAGGCCAGACCAAATGATTTTGAGGGCCTTATGAGGCCTGCAGGCCTGACATTCTCCACCCCCAGCCTACAACAATGGCCGCCCTCTACCGAGCCATAGTTACCAATCGGGCTGCTAAACTCATGGTTAACAATTCGAAATTACCAGCTGTTCCGCGGGAGAAAGATGAGGCTTTCTGCTCCTGTAAAGATTTACAGCCTCGGAAAACCTGTACAGGGTCGGAACCGACTCCACAGCACGTTAACAACAACCGTCCCATTTTACAGGTGAACAAAACACTGGCTGATTGCCTATGAATTACGCCAGATGATTCTTGCCATGAATTTCTTCTTAGGAATATCATTATTATCAAGAAGCTCTTGGGTTCTCAGAAACTATACGTTTCTAGAAGGACTGAATTAACAGGGATACCCACCTTGACTCTTCACTGTAATATAAAACAGTAGACTTGTTATATAAAATAGTATTGTTTACATCACAGCTGAATATACAAACGCCTGTATTATGTGAAGCCTCCTGGTGTGGCACAGTTGGATCAGCACTGGACTGGGAACCACATGGCCTACAGTTCAAACCACCAGATGCTCCTCAGAAACCCTATGCAGTGTAGCCATGAAGCGTAATCAATTCGAAGGCACTTAACAACAACACTATTATGTGAAAATAGATGAGAGAAAAATGTTTTCTTTCAGTATCAGAAACCAATACAATATTCAAAACGTAGATTATATTTTAAATTAAATGCACATGATGGGACATTATCCTGCATTAGTACTGCAACCCAATGGGAAAGAAGACCGACTGGCGAGGCACAACGATCTCTTTAGGGGATAAAAAGCATATTTAATGTATTTTCTCATCTATTTCATCTTTTCCCTGGAAAGCGGGCTAGGCCCTGTCATGTGACTCCGACTCCGGGCGGAAGAAGGCAGCCAGGCCGAAGGGAAAGGCTCGAATGGGAGGGAGTTCATGCCAGAGTGAAAGATGGCCGCTGCCGCCCAGTAGCCACCGCCTGGGAAGTTACAGTAAGGCCCGCAGCTTCCGCCAGTTTCTGCGGAGCGCCGTCGCTTCCTTACCATGAAGCCAGTGAATCGCCGCACGCTGGACTGGATTTATTCAATGGTAGGCCCGGAGTTTGGTGGGGCTCCACGGTGTCGATTCCTTGGGCCCACTGGCGGGAGGCCTTCTATTTCTTGAACGCCTGCAAACTCCAAAACCCATTCCCGATTTAAAGCTTTTCACCCCCTCACCTCGACTCCGCCTCTTCCTGGAGGACAGGCTCTTCCGGCTTCTTACGTAGGAGCTAATGGGTGTATGTCTGGAATCCGGGTTTGTTAGAATTTGAACTGTAATTCCTAGCTTTGCAAATGTATACGGTAACTTGATAGGGGTGGGAGGAGTGTCACACACATTGATTTTGGTTATCTCGCTCTCTTTTTTTTTAGTTGCTCTTTGCCATCGTGTTACTCTCCTGGGGATATGTCATATATGCTTCCACTGTAGCTGCACGACGACAGCTAGCGAAGGAATACCCAGACAGAATCTTCGGGATGAATGAAAATGTGTAATTCCTGTAGACTTAATTCTCTGCAAATACAACTCTACCTCATGCTTATGTAACCTTTCTAGATTTAAAAATAAAACACCATAGTTTCCAATTTTTTGCATTGTTGTTAAGTGCCGCCAGTGGGTTCCCACTCAATAGTGACCTTTATAAGGCTTTTAAATCTTCACGGGAGCAGAAAGCCTCATCTGTCTCCCGCAGAGCGGCTGGCAGGCTCAAATTGCTGACCTTGTGGTTCGCAGTCCAGTGCTTAAAGTATGGAGCCACCATGTTGTTACTGTTAAGTGCCATGGAGTTGGTTCCTACTGGTAGGTACCCTTCATAGGGATTCGAAGGAGTGGCTGGTGGGTTTGATTAGCAGTCCACTGCTTACCCTACAGCGCCACACTAGAATTCTGCCCTCCATAAAACCACTAACATACACTAGTTTTCAACATCTTGGTATTTTTGTCTTACAGTCTCATATGGCAAAACTCAGACCAGCAGCCTAGTTCTGACAGCCTTTGAGTATCATAGATGGAATCCTTGCATTCCAATCGAGAGTTTGTTTCTAAAGTACTTCTTTTAAAATGTCTCAGAAAGATTTCTTTAAAACTGAAGTGTATGGGATTTTTTGTTCTTACATTTGTTTTGCACAGCATTTCCCTCAGACCAGATTAAAACATTGTAAAAGAAAATTTATATCAACTTAATATTACATCCTGTTTTCCAGTTCAGAAATAAGCAGAACCAAGTAGTCACTCATATTATTTGTTTTGCATATTGAATTTTTACTTAATGTTAAATGAATCAAAGGGTTTCAAGTTAAACAATGTTTTGGAAGAGATATGACAACCCATTTCTGAAAGTAAACGTATAAGTTTACTTTATTAAAGTTACTTTTCCAGAAAATATATTCCATAAATATGGTAATGTAGAACTTGGGCTCAAAAGCCTTTGAAATGTTTAAGTAATCTTCAGTGATGTTGATCAGGGAAGTCTTTCATTGGTGGAATTACTTCTCCAGTCTCCAGAATTGTATCACCCTAGAAAAACAAATATATATTAGTAGGAAAATCTTTCAGGAGTGATAATTTCACTCTGTTCTATATGTTGGTTATTTCTTCTTTGAAAAATGTAATGCAGCAACTATGCGTTCTACAGCATATCTGGGGAAGGGGTGGCAGGCACCATGTTGGCTGTGAAGGTGGCAGGCAAGAAGCCCCTGACACAACCCAAGTGACAGAACAAGGAAAGGATGAGGAAGATAATTGCTTTCAAACAGAAACAAAAAGAAGAGTCAAAGAATCTCAAGGCCGCAGGGAAGGGCCCCTTCACCACAGGTGGAATGAAGAAATCTGGCAAAGAATAAGCTGTTCTTTGTGACTGAGGTGATGGTGACCCTTGGTTCCATTTCAGTTTAAACATCCATTCTCTGCTAGAACATCTCTTGACATCTATAGTTAGAATGAAGTGTTGTCTTAGAACCTGTTGTACACTTAAGAATAAATGTTTATTTAAAAAAAAAAAAGAAAGAAAAAGAAATCATACAATGGCCATCTCTTTAGTTCTATCTTCGCTGGGTGGTCAGTAAAGCAAGCCCAGAATCCTGCCAGAGCTGCTCTTAGGTCTTTGTTATTATGCCCAGAATTCTGTACTACCTGGAATTAACACAACTTATTTGAAACCAAAAAGCAAAAGAAAAATGTAGTTCAGCTCTGGCATACACACTTTGTTGTTATTATGTGCCACCAACTTGGTTCCAACTCACAGCAACCCTGTATAGGGTTTCCAAGCAGCTGGTGGGTTTGAACTACTGATTTTACAATTAGCAGTCCAATGCTTATCCTACAGCACCACACCAAGACTACATACACACTTTGTTTTTAAGTGCTGTTGAGTTGCTTCCGACTCATGGCAACTCTGCATAGGGTTTTTGAGGAACGGATGGTGAATTTGAATCACAAACTTTGTGGTTCACACTGACCTTGTAGTCCAGTACTTATCTTATGATAATACCACACAGGAACCGATACATACTTTTGTTGTTAAGTGCCATTGAGCTGGTTCCAACTCATAGCAACCCTGTATAGGGTTTCTAAGGAATGGCTGGTGAGCTTGAACTGCTGACTTTGCAGTTCAAACTGACCTTGCAGTCTAGCTTGTTAAACTGAAAGCATCACACCAGGACTCCATACACACTTTAAGAGGGACTTGTGTAAGCTATCTAAAGATGAACAACCAGGAAGGAGTTGAATTCTAAAAATAAAAATTAACGGAGATGCTTCACTCAGAAACAGAACTTCAGGTGGCATTAAAATTTTCACCACGTAAAAAAAAGATAATCTTTATTTTGAATGGCCCCAAGAAATGAAAGAAGCCCTGAAAAAATAAATAAATAAATTTTCTTTCAGTTCAATATATGGAAGTAATCAATGTGTATTCCCAGAAACTGGTGGTAAGCAATTGCTTGGTGTAGCTATTAGAGACATAATACAGAAGGCAGCTGGGCAGCTGGTCTAGGTGTCTTTAAGCCTAGATACAGTATGTGTGTGGTAAAAAGACCCTGAGGGCTTTCCAACCTGGTCCCATCACTATGGCTCCCACAATGAAGGGTGGCGAGAAGGGCCCTTCTGCTATCAACGAAGTGGTGACCAGAGAGCACACCATCAACATTCACAAGCACATCCAGGGAGTAGGCTTCAAGACGCATGCCCCGTGCGTCTCAAAGAGATTCGGAAATTTGTCATGAAGGAGATGGGAACACCAGACGTGAGCATTGACATCGGGCTCAACAAAGCTGTCTGGTCTAAAGGAATCAGGAACATCCCGTAACATATCCGGGTGCGGTTGTCCAGAAAACGTAATGAGGATGAAGATTCACCAAACAAGCTCTATACACTGGTGACCTATGTGCTGGTTACCACTTTCAAAAAAAAAAAAAAAGTCAATGTGGATGAAAACTAACAGTTTATGATCAAATAAATTCTTTAATCTGCAAAAAAAAAAAGACCATGGGTTTTGGATCTAAAACCAAATGGTAAGACTCATGGCCCTTCCACTGAAAAGCTGTAAAATATATTAGGCAAATTACTTAACCTTCTCTAAGTTTTATTTTTCTCATCTTTATAATGGAAATAACAATCCCTACTTCATAAAACACTGATTCAGTATTTGGCATATTGCAGACAATCAACAAATGTTGTTGTTAAATGCCATCGAGTTGGTTTTGACTCATAGTGACCCTGTATAGTTTCCAAGGAGTGGATGGTGAATTTGAACCACCAATGTTGCAGTTCAAACTGGCCTTGCAGTCCAGTACACTATCCCACAGGCCCACACCAGACAACCAACACATCGAAACTATTAATATACTTTTATACCGTTTCACCATGAGAGTAACTGAAATCATACACAGAAGATAAGACAAGTCACTAAGTGTTAGGACTAGCTGGTAGTATAAATGCTACAATGTGAAGAGAAGAAAGTGGGTAAGACATTTGATCTGTGCTTTTAGCAACAGGGGACATTTTATTCCACAGTGATAGAGATCTGGTTTTGAAAGGATGAGAAAAATGTTTTCGAAAAGGTAGCATTTTTATATAATTGGATTTCTATCATACTTATTTTCTCATTTCACCAGCGATTAAAGAGATACTTCCCCCAAGAAATACAGGTGGTCCAACTAACTACATTTTTCAAGGACTCTTAATAAAAACTCTAGAATTATGAATTTTGATCTTTAATCACTTATATAATGTCATCTAGTTTGTGGTTTAGCAAAAGTCCTCTTTCCAAACATGTAAACCAAGAAGGCGTTTCTGTCTGACTGTCAATAAGCTTGTAAGGAAAAGACATGTTTTAGCATACTGGTAGAGCGCAGCTATCTGGTACCGCTTTATCATAGGAGCTCTGGTAGCGTAGTGGTTACGAATCGGGCTGCGAACCATAAGGTCAGCAGTTCGAAACTACCAGCTGCTCCACGGGAGAAAGATGAGGCTTTCTACTCCCGTAAGGATTTACACCCTCGGAAACCCTGTACAGGGTCGCTATGGGTCGGAACCGACTCGAAGGCACTTAACAACAACAACAACAAATCTTAGGTAAGTTACTCAACTGCGTTTAACTCAGCTTCATATGTCAAGTGGCTATTATAACATTAGATTACTTGGGAAGATTAAGTAAAGGCATGCAAAATGACTGGTACATAGCAAGGATTCAATAAACAAGGTGAGCTACCAGCCACTCCTTGGAAATCCTATGAAGGGTTGATATGAGTTAGAACCAACACAACGGCCCTTAACAGCAATAAAAAGTCAAGGAATGCCAAGTAAGTTACCCTCTCTTCTCAATGAATCCGAAGTCTTACTCTAGAAAACCAGAAAGGCTCCTATGCCAAAAAAAGAACTTAGCTAAAAACAGATGTCCACCACTCGTCTGTCAGTTTGTTGTACTGCTGTGGTGGCTTGTGAGTTGCTGTGATTCTGAAAGCTATGCCACTGGTATTTTAAATACCAGCAAGGTCACCCATGGTGGACAAGTTTCAGATGAGCTTCCAGACGAAGACAGACGAGGAAGAAAGAGTGACGAACTACTTCCGAGTATTTAGTCACTGAAATCTTATGAATAGCAGAGAAACACTGCCAGATATAGTGCCGGAAAATGAGTCCCTCAAGTTGGAAGGCACTCAAAATGCGACTGGGGAAAGCTCCTCCTCAAAGTAGAGTTGACCCTGATGACGCAAATGGAGTAAAGCCCATTGAAGAAAAACCCATGGGACCTTCATTTGCTGATGGGGCACAATTCAAAATGAAGAGAAACAGCTGGAAATAGCCACTGAACACTGGAACATAGAATGTATGAAGTATGAATCTGGGAAAATTGGAAGTAGTCAAAAATGAAACGGCATGCATAAACATCAATACCTTAGGCATTAGTGAGATGAAATGGACTGGAATTGGCCATTTTGAATCTGACAACCTCATGGTTTACTATGCCGGGAATGATAAATTGAAGAGGAAAGAGATGCATTCATTGTCAAAAAGAACATATCCAGATCAGTCATGAGGTACAACGCTGTCTGTGATAGGACAATACCCATGCGCCTACAGGGAAGCCCAGTTAATACCACTATTATTCAAATGTACACACCAACCACTAAAGCCAGTGAGAAGGAAATAGAAAAATTCTACCAACGTTTTCAATCTGAAAT